CGCTCATTTTTTCCAGGCGCCGTATGTTTGAACTTCGCGGTTGTCTATGACAACTATTGACAACAACAACCCCTCCGTAAGCTGTCACGAGACTATCTATGGTAGCTCATAAGGGATACTTTTTTTTTTTTTTTTTTTACGCGGCACACGCAACGACGGGCCGCACTAACATTAAACTTTAATGTCAAGTAGGGGGCCACAAAATATCACCCCGCGGGCCGCAAATGGCCCGCGGGCCGCGAGTTTGAGACCCCTGTATTAGAGGTTTAAATTAACAACAGATATTATATTCAACTGCTATTTATTTTCAGATATACAGTAATTATTACACTCGAATAAAAACTGAAATGTTTGTATGCAACTCAGTTGCACACAAGGTAGTTGTCATAAACACTTGTCTTCATGGTAAATTTACTCAATCATACATAGGCTATAATTAACAGTAAATAAGCTCCTCTCAAATGTTTATTTATAGCTAACTAATATATGAAGAATATATGAACATACCTTCTGATGTTCATGCATGTTTTTTCGAGCTATAACTTGTATTAAAGGCCCTGTTTACACCTGATATTAGGATGCATTTTGTTCGATCGGATCACAAGTAGACGAGGGAGACACTGTTCGAATGCTTTCGACCACATGAGCATTCGCAATCGAAAGCAATTCGGTCGAATAAGTTCCCGAATACCTCTGAAGTGGTCAAAAGTGGAAAAGCTCAAAGCGTTTTAGACTCTGTTTACACCTGTATTTAGCATTGTCCACTTGTGATCTGATAGACCAAAACGCATCTTAATACCAGGTGTAAACAGGGCCAAAGTGGAAGAAAAGGCTCACGCACATGTGCTGCCACTTGAACTGAGGCGCTACAGCGATCTGTCACGTCACATTTAAGAGCGTCAAAACGCCATTTATTGTTTGAATTTCATGATAAAATGACAAAACTTTCTTTCTTATTGCAAAAAACAAAGCACAAAGATATTTGAGATTATTGGATGGGCAATAAATTGGATGCGCAACAAATAATGTTTGGTGTAGGGAAGTGGTGTATGCTATTTTTTAACTGTTAATGCGTTATTGTCATGTTAACTTGCCCTAAATTCAACACAAGAAAGATTTTCTTCACACACAGTATGAGTTGCAGTCTGATCGGCCCTGATTGGTGGCTGATTTTAAACAACAAATAATTGCTTTATCGGCCGATACCGATTATTGTTTGATAGTATACATTGGTGAATCTCTAGTTTTATTAATATTTTGAATTTTTTTTTTTTTTCTGTTTTAAAGTAATCTGTTTTAGTAATTTTGTTGAGTGTTTTGTCATTTTTATTAGTTTTATTTCAACCAGTAATGAAAACTTTTTCTATGGTTTTAGCTAGTCAACTATAATAACCCTGGTTACGCTCAACATATTTAGACAAATATCAACTCAAAATGTCCATATATCAGTTCACACAACATGGCTCAAAACAGCCAAATATCATGCTATAGCCTATATATCTGTCTTTCATTATATGTCTCCTTCCATATTTCTGATATTTCCTGAAAATCATCACAATCTTTATCTGCAGATAAATGGTTCTCATTTCTGTAAAGCTTTGCGTTTATGAGTAATCGTGGGAACGTTCCATGTAACTTTGAGGGATAAAAAGAAATGCTAAAAATGCTGAAATCTCCTTTTTCTCCATCATCATCTCTCCCTTTCCTCCTCCGCTCCTAATTCATCTCTCCACTACCTCACCCCGTCCCCCCATCACCCATCCTGTCGTTCTTTTTTAGGCCAAATCGCCACCAGGATATGCTGAATAATTAAATTCCATTAGTTAAGGTAATCAGTCAACATGAGTGACTGGACCGAGCTGCCTCTCTAAACCCATCAGAGAGAGAGAGAGAGAGAGAGAGAGAGAGAGAGGAGACAAGAGAGAGAGAAACCCAGAACTTCCCAACAAATGAGGGCCAGAGCCAATTAGGAAAAATTAGGGAAAGAAAGGAAGGATGAAAAGGAGAGCAGACACCAAAATGATGAACGGGAGAAAGAGAAAAATGCAGAGGCTAGAAAAAAAGGGAAATCCAGGAGGAAGACGCACACATACACACTGCACACAAACAAACGCTTACATGCTAATTCAGATCAGCACACAATCACCGAAGTCCCGGCTAACATTGTATGATTTTTTCTGTCTTTTATCAGTGTTGCTTGTCAGATTATATACAACCCAAGTGAGATCTTAAGTAAAAGTCAAGGCAGACATCAACTGTCTTTATGTCAGACTGTTTGATGCACAGTTCTGCAGACTTTAGTCAACTGACAGCTTTGACTGGGCAGTCAGAGACTATTCTGACATCCTAACTCGCATACAAAAACAACTGAAGTGGTTCTGCACAAACCCTGGCAAACCCGTAATGATGGCAATATTTTGCCAAAAATCGGCAAAGAAATAGGCAAAGAAAGAAAGAAAAAAAGTGTTGACTGCTATCAGAGGTGTATAGTTCAGTGGGTCAGAAAGTAGAATTCCTGTCATATGTTTATTCCACCCATGACCTCAGCCAGCTGATTTCTCCTGGCTGAAAAACTGTGCTAATGTAGACAAATTACAGAGCTCTTACTTGTACCTCCTGTCCTGACTGCTGCAGATTCAATTCGGTGTTGATAGTTGACATAGAAACGCACAATTCTGAGTCTGAGGATGTGAACAGCTCCGGGTAAAACGTCACGGGTTGCCATCTCGTAATTACGGTTACGACATGGCGTGAACACAGCATAAGCGCATTGTTTTGGTTCAGGAGGAACTGTAAAAAGCGGCTGCTGTTTGTTTTTGGTGCTCGGTGACTGACGTCTGTCTACAACTCTGCACATGCACTTTTACAAGTTGATTGTACTGAAATGTGTGTTGCCAGTGCCTGTACACAACCATCATAAAATGATAAAAATCCATCCAGTGTTTTTGTTTTAATCTCCTTATATGTTTTCCCCTGTCTCAAATCGAGCCGTTCGACCGTGTGACGTCACACGCTCGGAAGCCCCTCCCTCAATTGTCAATCATAGTCTGCGCGGACCGGCGCGGTCATTGTTGATATGCTGGAGCTGTCTATGAGCAGAATGGTGTCTAAGCGATTGTGGTGTTCTGTTCTTGGGTGTAATAATGAACACAGCAGTCATTTTAATGTTCTTAAATCCGTTCTTAAATCCGCTGAAGACGCAGTGGCTGAGTTTGTTTTCGAAGGGAATATTCCCTACGAGCAACGTCAATGCTCTCATGTTTGCGCGAATCATTTCTCACCAGACTGCTTTATAAACGAGGGTCAGTATAAAGCTGGTTTTGCTAAGAAGCTGCTCATGAAAAAAGGATCGGTACCAGCTATTCGTGTTCCTGCTGAACCTCTAGAACAACTGAAGTGAGTGTAACGTTTTATTAAACTTTATATTAATATTTATATTAATCTTTGCAAATCGCTAGCTGCACGCTTCACAATGAATGCGTCTAAGGTTTACACTTAGGGTACATTACGGCATGTTTTCTATGTATGATGTTCTCAATATAATAATCCCACGTTTATACTGAACAACGCGTTATGGTTATTGTGTTATTGTGTTACAAACGGTGTAGCACAGAACAGAGGGGCGGGGTGAGCAAATCTCATTATCGAGTCATATGCACTGAAATGGCGTGCTGAAAACAGAGCTGTTTTTGACCAAGTAAAATAAGTGTTTTCTTACAATACTAATGAGAATTTGTAATTAAAGTATATTACAAACTTTTAATTTAGACCCTAAAGAATCATACTAGCTTGTACAAAAATGGCATTATATGACCCCTTTAAGGAACGCTGAAGACGGGTGATGTCTGCGAGAGCAGGGTGCGCGGAATGCAATGACCGAATGCAATGATTGGATGAACATTTTTTGGTCCTGAGACTTCCACAGAAGATATATGTACATGTTTTAATATTAAGACCACTTCTATTATTGATTGCTATCAGGATGTAAAGAAAGTTTCAACCAGTATAATAAAAAGTGCTTATAAAACAAATTGCCTTCCCTACCTTTAGTAGACTCTATAATACAATAATGTATGTGGGAATCTGACTTAAAAAAATATGCCTACTATGAGTACTATTAACTGAATAAATAGGGTGGCAACTAGCCTCAGTCTGTAGCTAAGCAAAAATGTAGAGCATGTTATATAATAGGACAAACTTTAGTTTCTGCCAAAATATATTTAAAATATACCAAAATATAGTTGTTATTCTTTCAATAATTCAATATTTTTTTCAGAACTCTTTAGTCATGCCATTTTTGAATAAGTTATTTACGTATATATATATATAGTAATGATAATACCAAGTTACCACAGTTTTGTTGTAGCAACAAATAACTGTAAATTCCTGTAAATTTCATTGGAAATTTACCATGGACAATGTCGCGCTGTGTGTCTGTCTCCCGTGAGCCTGTCTCTTCTCCTCCTCCATTACGTCTTATCTGCGTGCCGCTCTGCATTGGTAGCGCGCACGTGACTGTGCGCGCCTTGGCACTCGCGACCAGGTGAATTAAATTGGGGTAATCAGAAGCTCGCGCTCAGTTCAATGAGCGGGAGCACATATAGACAATGCAATCATTTGGTTGTAATGAAATGGACTGAGAGGACGGCAGAAGCATTGTGCATCCACTGTGAGGAATGAGACTTTTGATTGTGACGGGCTATCGGTAAGCTCATGGACTGTCATTTAGATCTTTGTCTGTTTAGGTGCAGAAATGTATTTAATAAGCTAAATGTGTTAATGTGGGTGTGAGTTAAGAGTTGTCACTGCATAGTTAAAGAAATAAATCTAAAACCAAATGCTTGGATGTATATGGTTAAAAAATGTGGGCTTCTTACCTTATATTTGTGAGTAAATACTTAAATAGACTTGTTAATGCTTATTTTTGTATTTAAAGGTTTTTCACCTGTTACTTCTATTACTTCTGTTGAATTGGTCAAAATAAAATCATTTGAGTGAAATCCGAAGTCTGGTCCTTGTCAAGTGTGGACACCTCACAGCTAGAAGAAAACACTTGACAGTGAAAAACCGGCCTGGCCAGAAGGAAACCGGCTGTGACCAGTGAAGACTCCACAAAAGCCCACCGCAAAGAGGGAGAAGACTCCACCTGGGGGCCTGGAGGAAATCAACTACCTGCCGTCCACCTGTCAGTCCAACAGCCAAAAAGGGCAACATGGCCGAGTCCAAGTCACTCGAAGAGCTGAAATTGGAGCGAACTACAGTAAAAAGACTTTTTTCCCGACTCGCCAACCATATAAAGAGGACCCACATGGAGATGTCTGTAGAGGAGCTACAAGATAACTTCAAAAGACTCACAGCGGAGGGCGCCAAAGTGATGGATGTAAATGAGGAGGTTGAGGCTGCTTACATTGAACTCGGCAGAGGAACCGAAGCGGAAGGCGCACCTGAGTTAAGTGACCAGCAGAGAGCCGACCTCGAGAAGACGGAGAAAGAGTGTGAGCAGAAGTTAAAAGAAGGAAAGCACCTAGTTCAGGAGACACTATGGGCCTCATTTGGTGAGAGAGAACTGACCCTTGCTCTAAAAGCTGCAGAGGCAGAGTGTGAGAACGTCTTCTCCGCTCAGCCTAACACACCCCTGGAGGCGTATGACTTTATGCTCCACCATTTAGAGAGCCTGGTGCACAAAGCCAAAGAAGCGCACCAGACCTGGAACCGCTGGGCTCCCCCAGCCGAGAAGCAAGACTCCACTCGTCGGCTAACGGAGCTCGAAACCCAACTTCCTAAGCTGGTGTCAAGGAAAGCCGCCCTGATCGGAGCAGCAAGAATTAAAGAGGACACCAAGAAGGTACCCGTCACAGCCCACAGCGCAGCCCCTGTTGCAGCCATAAAGCTCAAAGCCACAGCTTTACCAAAGTTTACTGGCAGCCAGCGTGAGTACTACAGATGGAGGAAGGAATGGGAGGCTCTGCAGAGGCAAGGTGAACCAACCGGGTCCAAAGAGGTGAAGAAATTTCAACTACTTGATAGCCTCGAGGAAAGAGTGGCCAAGGATCTACGGCTCTCTACTTACACTTCAGCAGACGAGATCTTCAGAGTCCTAGAGAACCGCTATGTAAACCAAGCCACCATCGCCATTGAGATTGTCGAAGAGCTACAAGCTATTCCACCTGTCCGTGGTAACCACCCGAGAAGAATCATAGAGCTCATCCAAGCAGTGGAAAAAGCCCTCTATGATTTGACTGAACTGAAGAATGCAGAAGCCATAAAAAACCCACTGGTGTTAAAATCCATTGAGAGTAAGTTGCCAGAGTCTCTGAAGAAAGACTGGCTTACCCACGCTACTGACCCGAATAATGCTGTGACCCACTGGAACCGCTTTGACAAGTTACTGGCATACCTCCAATCCCAAGAGTCCATCTATGAGCAGTTAGAACAGCTGGGAGACATCGACCCTGCCAAGGAAAAGACCAGGTTTCAAACCAAGCATGCCCGAACACGGACAGTTAAATCCAGCAGTGAAATAGCAGGCTGCATCATCTGTGGAGATCCGAAACACAAAAGAAAACTTTATATCTGCAGGAGGTTTAGGACCACTACAAAGCTCCAAGAAAAGAGGAGCGCAGTGCAACAGCTTGGAGCCTGTGAGGGGTGCCTCGAAATCCACAGCGAACCCTGCAGAAAAACTACTTACCTGTGTGGGAATCCAGAGTGCAGAGACCAACACCACTACCTCCTCTGTCCCTTGCCCAGACACCAGTCCCAAAGACCCAAGTTCGGTCCTGTGAGAGCTGAGGGGAAAAGACACACCGAGGCCCAGGAAGAGTTTCTCTCTAAACTTTCATCTGAGCTAGCGCAGCAGTGTCGCAATGCTTTCTGCAACATCGCATCTCAAGCATATAACTCCACTACAGCAGAGAGAGGCCTTCTAGAGGAGACTGGTCTGCACGAATACCCAGTGCTCCTGATGCTCCTTGACGTCACTGCCAATGACGGGCAAAGAATCGGAACACTTATTGATCTTGCGTCTGACACGAATTACATAACCCATAAAGCTGCAAGCAAGCTGAACCTCCGCAGTGAAGATGTCGCACTAGTCGTCCATGGCGTTGGAGGGATGAAAGTGTCTGTTGCAACCAAGCGCTACCTCCTTAAGATCCGCGTCAGCACTCCGAGAGGAACTTTGAAGTCTCACCAGCTGATCTGCTATGGACTTGACAAGATTGCAGAAGTGCACAGGCATGTTCCATCTGACAAGTTGCAGAAGATCTTCCCCGATGTTCCCCTCAAAGACCTCATCAGACCCAGAGAAATCCAGCTTCTGATCAGCCACAAAGAAGGGCAGCTGGTGCCCCAAAAGGTCCGTTCAGTTGGTGACCTGGTGCTCTGGGACGGTCCACTCGGTAAGACAGTCGGGGGCATGCATCCAGACCTCTTGGAGGAAGTCATCCTGAAGGCACACTCGTCCAAGACTCACTTCGCTAGATCGATGAGAACTTCAGCAGTCAAGTATCGTGAATTCACTATAGACTCAACTTCCTGCCAGTATCCCGACCACCCCGAGATCCAGTCTAGCACAGCCACCAGCAGCAGAGACTTTCTGAAGTGGTGGAGGTGGGAAAGCATCGGAGCCGCCTGCCAGCCGAAATGTGGAGGGTGTCGCTGCGGGAACTGCCAGCCAGGGGGTAAGGAAATGACGATTGCAGAAGAAAGGGAGATGGAGATCATAAAAAATGGCTTGACCTACACGACTGGAGATGTACACAGCACCGAACCACACTGGCATGCTAAGTATCCGTGGGCAGAAGATCCAGCAACCCTGCCAAACAACAGGAGAGCAGTTGAGGCAACATTCCTCAGAACTGAGAAGCAGCTGTCAAAAGAACCTGAGTGGAAGGCAGCCTACGGTGCACAAATCCATGAGATGGTGAACCGCAGAGCTGCAGTGAAGCTGTCCGAAGACGTCCTGCAGAGTTGGACTGGGCCAGTGTGGTACATAAGTCATCTCATCGCACCGAACCCACACTCAGTCACCACCCCAGTCAGACTAGTGTGGAACAGCAGCCAAAAGTGCAGAGGTCTCAGTCTGAACGATATCCTCATCAAAGGTCCTGATGTCCTGAACCCGATCAAAGCTGTCCTACTGAGATTTCGAACTGGTGTCTATGCTGCCCTGGGTGACATTCGGAAAATGTACAACTCTGTCTGGCTGGAAGATCGAGAGGTCCACTTGCACAGATTCCTGTGGCGTGACAGTGAAGATGCTGAAATAGAAGATTTTGCCATAACAAGAGTCAACATCGGAGACAAACCTGCCGGTTGCATAGCCCAAGTCGCCATGCGAGAGACTGCAAACTTGCCTTCATTTAGTCACTTTAAGGAAGAGAGACGCGTGCTGGAAGAAGATGTCTACGTCGATGACATTCTGACTTCACACAACGATCTTGACCATCTGAAAGGCCTCACAACCAACATCAAATACATCCTGAAAGCTGGAGGATTCCACATAAAGCCCTGGGTTTACTCCATTCAAAGTGGGAGGAAAGAACCTGAGAAGGAGATGCCAAAGACTATGATCCTACCAAACCAGCTGACGGAAGGCGACAACAAAGCCCTTGGCCTTGGTTACATCATCAATGATGACAAACTCCATGTCATGGCTGCAGTTAACTTCTCAAAGAAAAGGAGAAATATGCGTCTTGGTCAAAACCTGCTCAAGGAAGAGGTCAGAAATCAAACACCAGATCCACTCACCAGACGAGAGCTGCTAAGCCAGGTTTCTAGCCTGTACGACCCACTCGGCCTTGTGACTCCTGTCAAGCAAAAGGGTGCCATCCTTGTTAGGAGAGCTTTTCAAGAAGCCAAAGTAAAATACTGGCTAGAGGACACGTGGGATGCTGCTTTGTCTGAAGGTCTCAGAGAAGATGCTATAAAGCTATTTGAAGAATATGCTGATCTGAGCCAACTTCGTTTCACCAGGTCCCTGACTCCGCCAGATCCCTGCGCAGAGCCCAGTGCCATCACGTTCTCTGATGGCAGCCAACACGCATATGGCGCAGTGATGTATCTTCGCTGGAGCTGCAGCCATGGTGTCGTTGTGAGATTGGTCGAATCCAAAGCCAAGCTGACCCCCCTTGACCACAAAGGGGATCCTGTGAAAGCTGAGATATGCGGAGCAGTCTTCGCAGCCCGCCTCAAGACCTACTTCCAGAGACACTGCCGACTCCAGGTCAAGAGATGGTATCATCTTGTCGACAGTCAAACAGTCCTGGGTGCAATACAGCGTGAGAGTTATGGCTACCAGACTTTCTTTTCAAACCGTGTTGGTGAGATCCAGAGCAGTACCGATGTCCAAGACTGGTGGTGGATTCCTGGGCTAGCAAACATTGCAGACATCATCACCAGAGGGGCCTGTCCAGATGCCCTAACTGAGGACTCTGAGTGGCAGTTGGGTCCAAAGTTCCTCCAACTTCCTGACGATGAGTGGCCGAAGAAGTCTGCCAGAGATGTTGCAGCCCAAGCTCGAGACAAAGTCACAAGGATCCAGAAAAAAGCATTTGTAGCACTACTAACCAGAAGTCGCCTGAAGACAGCGCACAATCCAGCCCAGCTAGAGTCTGGAAGACCACCAGCAGGAGCAGCAGTGCGACAACTAGTCGATGAAAAGCGCTTCAGCAACCTGAGAAGGCTGGTTGGGACTGTGGCTTGGATCTGGAGAGCAGCTAAGAAGTTCTTGAGTGCCAAAACCAGAGACCAAGAAAAGTGGGAGGCAGTGCCATCCTCGGGTGTCCTTACAGTCAGTGAGAGACGAGACGTGTTTCGAGACCTTTGCCTAGCAGCACAAGAGGGCGTCAACTTCCCAAGCACCACAACAGACAGATTAGTCGTCTACAGAGACCAGACAAGTGGACTTCTAGTTTGTGGTGGCAGAATCCAGACCTTTAAAGAAGATCGCAGAGCTGTTCCACTCTTACCATTCCAAGCCTGGTTATCCACCTTGCTAGCCAGAGAAGCACACAGTGAAGCACATGACGGAGTGGCGGGAACCCTGCTGCGGATGAGGATAAAGGCGTGGGTCATCAGAGGAAGGATCATTGCCCAAAAAGTTGTTGACAAGTGTATCGTCTGCAAGAAAGCAAAAGGAAGAATCTGTAAACAAATAATGGGAAACTTACCTGAAGAGAGGTCAAGTCCTGCAGCACCATTCGAATTTGCATCCGTTGACCTGTTTGGACCTTACCATGTGAAGGATGATGTCAAGAAGAGAGTGACCATGAAAGTATGGGGCGTCGTGTTTTGCTGTATGTCCAGCCGAGCCATCCATGTCGAGCTAGCAAACACACTATCGACAGAGAGCTTCCTGTTTGCTTACCAGAGATTCACTGCTGTCCGAGGCCATCCCCGTAAAATCTGGTCTGATCCTGGTACGAACTTTGTCGGAGCGAGATCTGTCCTAAAAGAGATGTACACTTACTTGGATCAAAAGAGAACAGAGTCACTTGAAGAGTATGCTGCCAAAAATGGGACCACCTGGACGTGGAAAATCCTCCCAGCTGACTCGCCTCACCGAAACGGGGCCGCCGAAGCCGCTGTCAGAGTCACCAAGAGAGCCCTTCAAAGCCTTGGCAATGTAGAAGGCCTTACCTTTAGTGAGTTCCTGACAGTGCTGCAGCTAGCTGCTAATCTTGCCAATGAAAGACCCATCGATGCCAGAGTCGAGAAGAGCGCATCCAGTACATCACGCCGAACAACTTGCTGCTTGGTCGAGCCACACAAAGTGGAGATTTTAAAACTGTCGACTACACCATTTACCCATTCAAGAGGCTCAAAGAAGTACAAACGATGGTAAGCAACTTCTGGAAGTCCTGGAGCCAACTTGCTGGTCCGAACTTGTTCATTCGCAGTAAGTGGCATAC